GAAGTTTCTAATGTTTGATGTTTTATTGTGTTTTTAATATTCTGTTGGGAACCACCCAGAGTGGCTGGTATAAATAATATTATTAATCTTGTGCTTGATAGTGGATTAACCTATGGAGGCCGTACCCAAATTGATTGTTCCCTTGCTTGCCAGTAAGCTCACAAACTCAGTTCAGACTAAGATGTTGTTGCTCTTCATCTCTGATCAACCCCAGCCATCATTGCCAGTGGTCCATGCAGGAGTGCCAACTTGAATAAAATATTGGGTTGGGGGAGGTATCCCCCCACCCTACGTAATCGATCACATGGCATTGTACACACATACCATTTGAATGGCAATGCCCATCAACTTTCGGGGAACTCAGACCCCTCAAATACTTTATTGGGGGAGTCGAAGGTCCCTTGGCCCCTAGGAGTTGGCTCCTATGGGTCCATGTGAAACCACAGGAGAGAGTGGGTCAGGCACAAAATGGTAGTGGCACCTGCCCTGTGGAATGCCCTCCCACCAGATGTCAAAAAGAACATCTGTTTAGGGAAGCTTTTAATGTTTGATGCATTCTTGTATTTTAATATTTTGTTGGAAGCCGCCCAGAGTGGCTGGGGAAGCCCAGCCAGATGGGTGGGGTATAAATAATAAATTATTATTATCATTATTATGCTTCAGATTAACTTGTACTTGGTAAAATAATTTTCAATCTTTCTTAACTGTAGTTTAGCTCTGTTTCTAATGATCCTCCCAGATCTTTGACAACTAGGACATCTCCCTTGTTGCTAGATTCCCATTTGCATCAGTGTCTATCTGCTGCTCAATGATCAGTACAATCCAGAAAAAATTCCTGTAAGCTGTTGTATTCCTCCCCCCACCCCTCCCGATCTCTGAAGGGCTGCTTAATGACGGCAACCCAGTTTTCTCTAAAGTAGCTTTTCTGCTACCTTTTCCTACAGAACAAAGGTATCTGAAGGGTGTCATTTTGCTGACTGTTTCATCATTCCTCTCATGTTGGCTCCCACCTATTGGTTTGCTTTCTCTCTGCATAAACTTTCATTTTCCTTTACATTGCTAAGCAGCTGTTGGGATTTTTATGCCTCATTGACTCTGATGATCTTCTCAAAACTTTTGTTGGGAAAGTTGCCAGGCAAATCAGCCTGAAAATAACTCTCTTGCAAGATCGGAAGCAGGTGAGTACAACTTGTGGCCCGCCAAGCCAACCCAAGCCAAGCCCATCCACCTGCCCACCAGGCTCTTGATAAACCACCTGAACTTTTGCTGCCCGCCTGCAGTTCCAAAATAAAGGGAAAGGGAAGTTGTCATGGCTAAAATATACACCGGGTGAGCTATTTCCAGGCTGGTGGGTCTCCGGTTCTTGCAGGGCTGGTGTGAAACTTCACTGAGATTCATAACATCTCGAAGACGGATATATATTCCAAAGAATGGTTCTTTAATTTGGCCAAGGAGTTAATTTGACCTTCAAGTGATTTAACATGAATTTGGAAAAACTATTAGGGAGCAAGGAGCATTCCAATGTGGCTCTAAGGTGATTGCTGTGTCATCTGGGGATGGTATAATATAGGATTGTCCCATACTTCAATGCTATGTCCTGTATCGATAATATGGGATGCGGGTAGCACTGTGGTCTAAACCACAAAGCCTCTTGGGCTTGCTGATCAGAAGGTTGGCGGTTTGAATCTCTGTGATAGGGTGAGCTTCTGTTGCTCTCTCCCAGCTCCTGCCAACCTAGCAGTTTGAAACCTACCAGTGTGAGTAGATAAATAGATACCGCTGCAGCGGGAAGGTAAATGGTGTTTCCATGCGCTGTTGTCCATCACAGTGTTCCGTTGTGCCAGAAGCAGTTTAGTCATGCTGGCCACATAACCCGGAAAGCTGTCTGTGGACAAATGTCGGCTCCCTCAGCCTGGAAGTGAGATGAGCGCCGCAACCCCATAGTCGCCTTTGATTGGACTTATGGTAACTGTCCAGGGGTTCTTTACCTTACCTTTTACCTTTACCTGTATCAGTAGTTTGGTCTTGCATTTCAGGTCTGTGGGAATGTTCAGGGATGCAGGAGAGGATATATTGTCTGATAATAGCCTTTCCAACTTGTGTTAACAAGCTCACAATTTAGCAGAGTAACATTCCCCTTTTTAAACTCAGCGGATGCGTTTGCTCAGGCTCACTAAAGCCTCTATAATAACTGTTCTGGTATTTCCCCCTTATTCCCTTATAAAAGATAAGACATGACACAGTCTTCTATAAAAGTATAAAAAGAGTTTACTCACATTCTGTTCACAATCGGATCCCAGAAGGCAGACTTGGCTTAGAAAAGGAACATATACCTGGAAACTATCTCATAAGGAGACAGTCCCTTTGTCCTCTCTTGGCTAGAAGCCAAGAGCATCTTTGGCTAAGCAGATGCTGCTTCTTCGATGCATGTAGTCAAAGAGAGAGAGATGGCTGCCCTGCCCTGTGCTTTTGTCATTTACCTGCACAGGTGAGGCCACACCCACCTCTAGTCACATGCAGAGGAAGTCTGTCCCAGCCCAGAAGGAAACAGGAAGTTTACCTGCTGGCTGGAGAAACATTCCTCCCCATGTGTAAACATGTTCACTCCAGGAATGTTGTATTTGACTGCTCTTGTGTTTCACATCCCACAAGGTCTTGTCTTCTCTCTCTCTCTCTCTCTCTCTCTCTCTCTCTCTGGGCCATGTTAGGGATCCTCGCCAAATGCATGTGTTTGAAAAGGTGTGTGAAAGGTCATGTATTTAAGCTCTGGGTAGCCAAGCACAGATTTACAAATTTGTGCCTGTGTGTCAAATTCCAGAGGGGCCATCCTGCTAGGATGAGATAGATTGTAATGGGTTGCTTTGAAGTCACTTCAGCACTAGATTGGGGGGTTGGAATCGTTCCCCAACTGCTCTGCCCTGGATTTTGCCAGAACAAAGGTGGCAACCCTGATGTCATCACAAGCATTTCTGCTTACATGATGGAGCGGTCTTCCTTCTCCTCTCCCTGCATACTTTTCTGGTGGCATGTGGGGCAGGTGTGTGTGGGGGAGCTCTACTTCTCAGTGGAAGTCCTTGCACTGGCTTTCGTTAGTGGGATCAGTTATTTTCTAGCCCATCTTCTTCGCAACTGTTAAACCAGGGGTAGGAAACCTGTGGCCCTCAGCTCAATCTCATGTGGCCCTCAGCTCAATTTCATGCAGGTGTGGTAAGCCCAAAGGGATAGAAGTAGGATAGCGGAAGGAAAAAAGGAGAAATAGAAGGAGCGATGGAAAAGATGAGAAGTGGAAAAGCTCTCTGCAAAGCCAAACTCTAGGAAGAGTGGTTTTCCCCTTTGATGGAGCACTTGCTGGTTGGAGAGGAAGAAGGAAAAAGGAAATGGGGCAGCAGAAAGATAGAAGGGTAGCCCTGCCCACTTTGGGTTCTGCCTCTGCCCATTGCTGACTTCAGCCCTGCCCAACACTGACAGATAATTCCCCAAGGGAATGTGGACTTTAATAGCTAAAAACGTTCCCAGTATACCTGCAGGAGCATCTCCATTTTCAGAAAATCAGGTCGTATGTCAGCCTTATGTTATGTGACCCCTGAGCCAAGGAGATAAGTAACCATACAACCTGAAGGCAGCCCTGTATAGCCTTTTTAATGTTTTTTATGTCCAATTGTTTTTTAATGGTTTTATATATGCAGGAAGCAAGCCAGTCAGGTGGATGGGGTATAAATAATAAAATTATTGTTGTTCTTATATAGGGGGTCCCTATTTTCATCGGGAAAATGTTGGAGGGTATGATAAGCATTTCCTAACAACTCTTAGCATCCTTACCAAACTCCTGTTCCCAGAATTCTTTGAGGGAGGCTGTGACTGCTAAAATAGTATAAACCTGCTTTAAATGTATGGTGCAAATGTGGCCTTAATGCCATCCCACGGAAGCAGTGGGGCCAGCGTAGAATCCAATGGCTCTTGAGCCAGCTCAGCTCCTCCTCTTGAACACCCCATTTCAAAGCTTCCCACTGGTTGTTACTGGTGGGGTTCCTGCTTGCAGAGCTTCTGTCTACCTGGCCATTCAACAGATGAAAGAGGGAGCACCACCCCAGCAGAGTGACGTGCTAGCAGAACGGGGTGGGGATTACCCTACAAAGGCTGGTGGAACCAGATGGCTCTACACAGTCCACACACCCAGTCTGGCACAAAACTGCTTTATAGACCTTTAAAGCCCTAAATGGCCTCAGCGCAGTATACCTGAAGGAGCGTCTCCACCCCCATCGTTCAGCCCGGACACCGAGGTCCAGCTCCGAGGGCCTTCTGGTGGTTCCCTCACTCTGAGAAGTGAGGTTACAGGGAACCAGGCAGAGGGCCTTCTCGGTAGTGGCACCCGCCCTGTGGAATGTCCTTTCATCAGAAGTCAAGGAAATAAACAACTATCTGACCTTTAGAAGACATCTGAAGGCAGCCCTGTTTAGGGAAGTTTTTAATGCCTGATGTTTTACAAATTTTTATGTGCTGTAAAGCCGCCCAGAGTGGCTGGGGAAACCCAGCCAGATGGACACGGTATAAATAATAAAATTATTATTAATAATAATAATAATTAATACCCCACTCTTTCATGAAATGGACACCTGACCACCATTGCACTGAGCTGCTGTACTGTAGCGGAAGACGTGGATAATTTGAAAGTAGTCCCTCTCAAGGGTGCAACTAAAATGGCCAACTAAACTGGCTGAGTTGTTATTCCTTCTCCACAGAGAACAGAAGTTCTTGGAGGCGGTGATGAGGGAATCTCTTAATTGATACCTCTCGGTGCCTTTAACATGGAGGCATTCGTTCTTGTATGCAGATATAAATAATGGACCACATGGCTGCTACCGAAAGTGGCAATAATGGGTTGTCTTCTAGCCAAACTTACCTTCGCATCATGAGATCATGGCATTCTGGTTCTTCCTACCCTGCTTCTTCTTCCTGGCTTTGGTTGTCAGGAGCCAACAGGAAGAAAAAGCATTGTGATGTCACAAAATAAGTACCGTATGTTCCGTAGCATGTCAGCCAGTGAACCTTGCTTGCTCCTGCAATTTGCCTGTGGCACAGCCTAAGAAGGAGTGATTTTGGACTGTGTGACCTTCAACATTCTTCCAAATTACAAGTGGATGGTTCCAACCACCATTTGCAGAACTCATAAGGCTGTTTTCTTCTCTGTGTTACGCTGAAGAGGAAAAAGTGAATGTGCAGTTGCCATTGTGCTGCAGTACAAGCGAATTTTGTTAGCGGTGTGTCATCAGATGCTTCTGAGAGGGACTTGAAAGGTCTGGCTATCATTCATATATCTTACAGTGTCAAACACTGATGGAGATGTCAGTAAAACCTGCATTAATGTTCAAACTATGATTGTGCTTAAGTGTAGCTAGATAATGGCCTCAAGTCCTCCTTCCTAGTACTTGTTTGACAGGTTGCATTCCAGATTCATTTTATTGCAAAGCAATAAACCCTAAAGGGTTTTTGGGGGGTGATTATTTATTACTAGAACAATACTAACATATTATTATTATTATTATCAATATTAATATTATTAGTATTATTTATCTTATTAGATTTTATTAGATTTCTTTCCTGCTCATTATCATAAGGTCCCAGGGTGAGATACAGCAACCTAAAAGTATATTAAAATGTAGGAAATAACAAAATAGTAAAATTAAAAGCAGCTGTTGTGTGTACCACAGCCTTCTGAGACAAGGTTGACCTTTACCTTTACCTTTAATCATTAAATATTTTTGTTTTGAAAGAAGCTTCTGGATTCAGATAAATGCTTGACGTATCTGGTTGCTTTTTGTGTTTTTGCTGCTTTTTCCATTTTATTATTTGTGTTTTAATGGATGGATCATTGCTTTTTATCTCTCTTTTTTAATTTCCAAGTTGCTTTGAGAAACTCCTCTGGGAGGAGTGGAAGTGGGGCATTTAAAATAACAAAGAAATGTCCACTCAGAAGTAAATCCCAGCATGGTCTTATTCCAGCATAGAATGGGGCTATAAGATTGTAGCCATAGCTACTACCTGCACCAATATTAGCATTGTTTTGTTTTGGTTAGGTTTTTGTTTTAAACACATTTTGTAGCAATTTCTGCCAATGAAGTTTTTAAAAACATTTTTCACAATTTAGCATGCAATATTAGTTTCACAATTCTTTCCTCAATTACCTATGCCAGTGAGCCTGGTATCTCGATTCTTTTTCATTAAGGCTCTTATGTTTCCCTTTGCATTCTTATTCTGAAGGTGAAAGGCATTCTGAAGAATAAAACTGCACTCTAGACCTGATGAGTCACAACTGGATGAATCTTTCCATCTATTTCATAGCCCCTTGGCTGTAAATAAGTGTTTCACGTGTTCCCCTCTCCCTGCTCCTGAACTTCCCCAGGTCTCATCACCCACTCTGTATCTCTACTTGTCCATTTCTTTGGGTCAGGCTGGCTGCAGCTTGGGAGATGTTGCTTCAGCCATGATTCAACTCAGACTGGGGTCTTCTACAGGAGCTGGAGGCCTCCCTTCCTGGCCCTCAGCCTCATCATGATTTGAGCAAGGGCTTCCAAGAGCTTTGCCCTCCTTCTGAGTAGCCTCATGGGCAGCTAGCCAGGCCTTTTGGTGAAGTTCTTGCCTGGCTCTCTATCTCCTCTGCTCCTGTGGCTGGAGGGATGCAGAAAAACAGATAGGAACCCCAACACTGTATGTAAAACAAAGCAAAAAGAGCAGCTTCATGTGAGTAAAGGGGACAACCAAACTCTTTGAGTGAGGTCCTCACCTGGGAGCTCTCTGAGAACAAACCACCAGGAGTTCTGAGGGCTGCTGGAACCAGAGGTGGCAATTGGTTTGTGACACGGAGCCCATTCTAGAATGTTCCAAATAGAAGAAACCAGTCGGAGAAAGGGCAGGGAATGATATCATCAAACAGGGTTTGTGTGAAGGCTGACTTCATTTAGAACCCAGAAGAGGGGAGGGAGAGACCAGTTTGGAGCTCTGGAGAAGACCTTTTGGGGGTGTACTTCTCTGTGACACGATGTGGGACTGTGGATTTTGCTGTTTGTAGGAGTTACAGTGTCTGTTTCCATATCTGCTCAATCTGTAAATATTACAAAAATGCCTCAAGGGTGACATCTAGTCATACTCAGAGTAGACCCTGAGCTAAAAGTTACTGAAGACCATTGGTTTCAATAGGTCAAAATTGCTTGGCTGGATATTATCCTTAGTCTCCAGAGATCCCTTATTCCAAAGGGAACCAAACCTTGGCAAATATCGCACCCCTACAATTTTCACACGATTCAGGGAACTGAGGCATTTGTTAACAATATGAATACTATTCCCCCACCCCCATAATCTCACACTCTCCAACCTATTTCAGGACTGAGCTGTTGTGTGTTCAGACCCAGAGACCTCCCCCCTAAATAAACACACATTTGACCAAATTGTTTGGTTTGTTAGCCAACTTTACATTACAGAAAATGAGGTGCGCCTGAACACTGGGGACCGCCCCAGGTCAGCCAGGGTGACACCTGGGTAGCCGGGAACAGATGTTCACCGCCTGACTGGACACCTCGGGTACAACTAGTCTATGGATCTCATAGGGACGGGCGTCCCCCCCACCTGAACAGTGCCATCCCAACCAGGCATTAAGGCCGGCCGCAATCAGCCAAGTGCTGCCTGTCCCAACGACAAGGTCCAAATGCCAAAGTAGAGAGTGGTCCTGCACGAGCCGAAGAGGAAGCTGTACATGCATGTATATGGTCCTTCGTTTGACTGCCATTGAGAAACCAGAACAGACACCAAGGTTGGCTGTCAATACCACAGGAGGATTCAGTCCGCCACGGCTGGGAGGACAGATAGCAGGCATCAGAGTTGTGTGACACTATAGAAACTATTAATAATGTGGCATAAATAGGTAAAGGTAAAGGGACCCCTGACCATCAGAGGTCCAGTCGAGGATGACTCTGGGGTTGCGGCGCTCATCTCGCTTTATTGGCCGAGGGAGCCGGCGTACAGCTTCCGGGTCATGTGGCCAGCATGACTAAGCCGCTTCTGGCAAACCAGAGCAGCACACGGAAACGCCATTTACCTTCCTGCTGGAGCGGTACCTATTTATCTACTTGCACTTTGACGTGCTTTCAAACTGCTAGGTTGGCAGGAGCAGGGACCGAGCAATGGGAGCTCACTCCGTCACGGGGATTTGAACCGCTGACCTTCTGATCGGCAAGTCCTAGGCTCTGTGGTTTAACCCACAGCGCCACCCGTTTCCTGTGGCATAAATAGTGTTGGACTAAAACTTCCATCACCCCTGATGGCTGGGGTAGTTAGGAGTCTGACAATATCTGTAGGACCACAGGATCCTCATCTCTAGGACTACTTCATCGATGCACAAACCTAAGTAGCAATATTCCATTTCGGGATGGTGCTTCTGTGAGAGTTTTTTTAAGGGGGATTCCCCCCCCCCCCGAGCATTTGACACACAAGTATAAGCAACTCACTTTAGGGTTCTCTTTTTGCATGGTTGAGCAAAAAAATCCAAATCATATGGGTTTATTCACCTCAGTGAATTTTAATAAATGTGGCACTTACAGTATGTTAATGCGGAGCCAGCATAAGCAATGCTCCAGGCAGAAGTAGTTTTAAGGAATTGCAGGTGTTGTGGGTCTTTTTGTTTGAAGTCTCCCGGCTCCCCAGCTTGCCAGGAACATGTGTTGCATATTAACAACTTGTATCCATGATTGTCAGCAAATTGCATAATTGGTTCACTATGCCTGAGATAGAACTGTAATCATGAACAAGTGATTGGACATATGAAAAATGTGAACTAAAACAAAAAACAAAAAACTCCAAACACAATACATTTTAGTATATGACTGTTTACATTATTTCAAACTGCTTTTTAATTGTGCTTTTTCTTTTATAAATTTTTTTAAAAAAAATTTATGTGAGGGGTTTTTTTGGGGGGGGTTTATTCAGCTGTTTCTTTTTATATTTTGATTATGTATTTTGTGGTTCTATATTGTAATTTTATCTTGTGAAGCACCCTGAGACATGCAGGTATAGGGTGGTACATAAATTTAATTAATAATAATAATTTAAGTAACAGAATAAATTGTATAGGAGATAGGATAAGGGATCAAGCCACTCACAAGAAATACCTTGTTATTTTACTTAGCAAAGAACATGTCTACTTAAAGCATTGAAGGTGTTGTCTTGAGACTGAATAGCTGACTGCCTATTCCCCTCCTCACATCCAGCCCTATATTTCTGTGAATTCATCGCTTGTATTTTCCTGTCTGGGACTCTGAAGTGGATAGTCGTGATTTTCCCCAATGTACAAATACATTTGCAACATCCTATATACCGTATTTTTCGCCCCATAGGGCGCACCGGCCCATAGGGAGCACCTAGTTTTGGGGGATGAGGAAATAAAGAAAATAAAATTATTTCCCCCCCCCCAGGCGCAGGGCTGGGGCGCGTGGCTCAGCATGCCCCAGGCTTCGGGATGCAGGCAGCTCCCACCGCCAGCCTCCAAACCAGGCCCGGGAACAGCGGCGGCGCTCTGCCTCCGCGCTGTCCCCCGAGCTTGTGGGGCTGGCGATGGGGAGAAGCGCGCTTCTCCCCACCGCCAGCCTCCAAACCAGGTCAGGTTTGGAGGCTGCTATCCGCAAGCCTTGGGAGCCTGACTGGAGCTCCAGCGGAGCTCCCAAGGCTTGCGGATAGCTTCCTGAAGTCTGGAGAGCGAGAGGGGTCGGGGCGCCCCGACCCCTCTCGCTCTCCAGGCTTCAGCGAAAGCCTGCATTTGCCCCATAGGATGCACACACATTTCCCCTTCATTTTTGGAGGGGGAAAAGTGTGTCCTAAAGGGCGAAAAATACAGTACATAGGACCTTGTGCAGATGTTCTGATCAATGGACAGGACACAGCTAACAAGTTCCACCAGCCTAATGGGGTTTTCCCCTCTCTTCTTGCCCTATGTCCCCTCATGCCTTCCACAGTTGGCTCTGTGTGGTGGGGCAGAGAGGAGAGATTGTTTCATCTGGCACCTTGAGAAGCTCGAGGTGATGGAACAATTGCCATAGCGCTACACTGAATTTCTTTCAATATTTGGATGTCAGGTACATGGAGAATTTTAATGGGCATCATCCAAGTCACTGCTGCCAATCGTAATGATAAACAAGTAGGATAACAACAACAATGCTAATTTTTAACAAAATTAAAGAAATAATTCAGAGGCACCTTAGTGGCCATATTCACTGTGGTTTGCTCAGAAACAGAGTCTAGGTACAGTGGTACCTTGTTTCTGGAACTTAATCCATTCTGGGAGTCCATACGTCTCCCGAAACCATTCAAAAACCAAGGTGCAGCTTCCGATTGGCTGCAAGAGCTTCCTGCACTCAAATGGAAGCTTCGTTGGATGTCTGGCTTCTGAAAAATGTTCGCAAACTGGAACAGTTACTTCTGGGTTTGCGGTGTTCGGTAGCCGATTTGTTTGACAGCCTCAGCCGTTCGAGAACCAAGGTACCGCTGTATCCTGAACAAAGTGGCCCTGATGCATTTGCAGGTGCACTCAACAGCTAGTGACCTAGATGTGGTGCACATTCTGCTGGCATCCAGTGACCTATCCAGCTCATTGAATGAGGCCCATAATTCGGTGGCTTAAGAGCTCATGGATTTTGCATATGATTTAGGCCTGCTGGTGAAGGTGAGAAAAGTGACAGCAGCATTTTCTAGTGTTCTGAATTTCATATCAAGTAAAGATGTAGATGAGAAGCCAGAGACATATGTGCATATGTTCTAGATGCACATATGAAAGATGGAGTTGCCATATTTCAAATAGTAAAAGCCCCAAAAGTTGTTGAGCCAAAAAGAGAGAGAAGACTTGCCTTACTCGTAGATTCAGGAAAAACTGCAACCTTTCAGAAATCCCCCCCCCCCCCGGATGTCAATTCTGCCTTTGAAATCCTGGTAATGTCTGGGAAAACCCAGATGTATGGCAGCCCTAGGAAAAATTGCTTCCATTCATGTATTACCCTTCGATCCAGCGACCTTGGGACCTCTTTATAGGGCTGCCCCATGTGGCCAACCATTGAAATACAGGTGGCGGTCATCTCAGTTTCTGATCGGACTCTGCCCACTAAGGCTGGCTATAGGATCCTTCTGGGAAGGAAGGCATAGAGAGAGAGGGTTTTCTATTCCCATTCTTCCTGGGTTGAGCAATGAGGTGTCCCTGAGCTCCGCTATGTTCCTGTATCCTTGGAAATTTGCTTAATTCTGGTTTTTGATTTGGTCATTGTTCCCACCTGGTTCTTTGCTCCTGACCACTGGCTTGTTCTTTGTTCCTAAATCACGGAATCTGCTGCCTGTTACCCAGCCCTGATACATTTGCAGGAGCACCAAGGCTAATCTTTAATGCATTGAATGCAAGTGAAGATAAGAGTGCTGGCCAAGGTGGATAGTCGAACCTTAATCTTATGTCTCTCTTCTTCAGCAAGTACTTGCCTTGTTTATGTTCCTCATTTAAGTGAGAGTCCTGAAAGAAGGGACCTCGTGGAATGATTCTTAGTTTGGTCTCTCAGCTTTTTGCTTTTCCTCTCATTAAGTTGCTTTGTAGCCCTTGTTCGTTTCAATTATGTAACGTGCTTGCTTTATTGATCTGTGACCGTATAATTAATTCACAAGTGAGACATTCAGCAGCTGCGTAGAAAATCTGCCTGCCTTGTATTGCTAGTTGTGGCAAAATTGCTTGTTATGCTGGGGTGTAGGAGAAAGGCACAAAACTAGCTAGATTAATTGGAGAACCAACTCCAGAAACTTGTACTTTTATACAGAACTGTGCTTTAGATACAAAATACCTTGACATTAGTTTCCAACTGGTCTTCTAGAGTATTGTGAGGCTATAAGCCCTGTGTGTAGAAGAATACAATAATAGTGCCATGCCACGGCTTGGAGGCAGGGTCTATTATTATTATTATTATTATTATTATTATTATTATTATTATTATATTTTACTCTTTTTTTCCATATAGAAAGTTACATTTGTTACTCAACAATTATATTCCAATTCAAAAGAACTAGTGCATTCTCTCTCACCCAACACCAATGTTTAAAACCCAAAATTACATATAATTTTAAGGTTCTGTCTTACCTCATTTCATCCTCTCTAACATTTTTCTTAATATATTCTGCTGTTTTCTTACATTTCTCGCTGTGGGTCTTTGTAAATGGGAAATAACTTTTAATATAGACCAGAAAGGGCAGAGAGGATGAAATAGCTGCTGAGGGATACTGATCACTTTGTGATTTATAAGGTGGCTCTCTATCTTCCTGGCAGCTAGGAAGAATAGGAAGAAAGAACTGGATGGGCTAGCAATCAATTGCAAAGGGGACTCTGAGAATTACTTTTTATTCCGTACAATAAGAAATAAGAAATTTTGTTGGATCTGACCATGGTTTTACTGCATATGTAGCGACCGCTGTTTTTTTTATTCTTTCTTTTTTCCTTCTTTGGATGTTGCCATGGCCTTTGGCTAATGCAATAAAAATAGTTACTGTTATAAACTACAGTGGTACCTCGGGTTACATACGCTTCAGGTTACATACGCTTCAGGTTACAGACTCCACTAACCCAGAAATAGTACCTCGGGTTAAGAACTTTGCTTCAGGATGAGAACAGAAATTGTGCTCTGGCGGCAGCGGGAGGCCCCATTAGCGAAAGTGGTGCTTCAGGATAAGAACAGTTTCAGGTTAAGAACGGACCTCCAGAATGAATTAAGTTCTTAACCTGAGGTACCACTGTAGAAAGGGTTTCCAGTCTTCTTTAGAAGATTTGAAATTTGTACCTTTTATCAGTGCCATCAATTTTGCCATATCTGCATATTCCACGATTTTCATCAACCATTCTTCCTTTGAGTGTGTTCTCTCCTCCTTCCATTTCTGGGCCTAGAGAATCCTTGCTGCTGTAGTCACATGTATAATAAATACCATTAGGCTATATTTGGGATTTCACAGTCTAGTATCACCATCAGGAAGGTTTCTGGCCTCTTGGGAAAAGTCGCTTAATTCCCCCCCCCTTAATTTTATTAAGGTCCATGTGATGGACCTTCTTGCAGGTCCACCACATACGATAGAATGACCCCTCAGAGGCATGGTCAATTTTAGGAGTATTGTAATAATAATTAAAATCATGCATTTGTACAATGCTTCGAACGTACAGGAGAGATTTTGTTCCCTAGGTTGGTGATAGGGACTTGTGGGCTTCCCAATGTTGCTGGACTACAATTCCTATCATCCTTAACTGTTGGCTATGCTGCTGGGACAAATGGGGGTTGGAGAATTTGAAGGTCCAGAAGTCTCCCATCTCTACACTTGGCATTTTTATTTCAACATGCTTATAAGTTTTAGTGGTGGGGCTTTCAATTGCCATATTGGCTGCTGGCGTCACAGTTTTCTGTTTGGGTTGTTTTCTTCCTTGCTTTAAGATTTTAATTTTTTTTACATTAGTCCTGGTGGAAAACCAGGACGTGGAGAACTGATAGCTCAACCCAGTTGGGCTCTTCCTATGCAATGGGATATAAATCTTAAAAATTGGGGATATTTAGATAGATGCGGCCTCTAGTTACATGAATCCAGATATTTTGAAAGTTTGTTGTTGTTTAGTCATTTAGTTGTGTCCGACTCTTCGTGACCCCATGGACCAGAGCACGCCAGGCACTCCTGTCTTCCACTGCCTCCCACAGTTTGGTCAAACTCATGCTGGTAGCTTCGAGAACACTGTCCAACCATCTTGTCCTCTGTCCATCCCCTTCTCCTTGTGCCCTCCATCTTTCCCAACATCAGGGTCTTTTCCAGGGAGTCTTCTCTTCTCATGAGGTGGCCAAAGTATTGCAGCCTCAGCTTCAGGATTTGTCCTTCCAGTGAGCACTCAGGGCTGATTTCCTTCAGAATGGATAGGTTTGATCTTCTTGCAGTCCATGGGACTCTCAAGAGTCTCCTCCAGCACCATAATTCAAAAGCATCAATTCTTCAGCGATCAGCCTTCTTTATGGTCCAGCTCTCACTTCCATACATCATACTGGGAAAACCATAGCTTTAACTATATGGACCTTTGTTGGCAAGGTGATGTCTCTGCTTTTTAAGATGCTGTCTAGGTTTGTCATTGCTTTTCTCCCACTTCCAAATTCTCTTGGCCATGCTGAGAGCAGGTTTCCATGAAGGTCCTGGGAGCTGAAGAGATTATTTGCTTTGCTGTAGAACACCAATAAAATGAGATAAAAAATTAGCAGCAAAGGGCGGTGCCAGGAAAATGGAGGCAATAGGTCTAGGCAGAGCAATGACATTAGGGGAAGGCAGTAAACAGACACTATGATTCCCTCATGGAGGTGAGAATGGGAAGTTCAAACATGATAATTAAAAGCTAAAGAGAAAGCGGTGGAATAATTGGAAGCAATTATTTTTCAGCAAAGCGCCATTTGGGCCCTCTGAAAGAACAGATAATCAGGCAGATAATTTCCACTGTACTAAGCAGCTATTAAGTGGAGCAAAACCAATACTCTTTTTTTCTTGCTTTATCAGTACATTATGTCAGAAAAAAAGCCTTAAAGCATCTCTCTCCCTCTCTCTCTCCCCCCTGAGTAAACGGGGTGGGGTAAGGAAAATGAATACTGACTGAAGACTGTAAAGGGTCTGATTTTTCAAAGGAACAAAAGATATGTAGTTCTGTGGTAAGATTCACCAACATTCACATCCCACCCCCCTCGGTTAAAGGTCATTGGTTTGGTTTTCAATTATAAAGTTCACGTGAGGCAAAGTGAGGCAGCTGTAAAAGTTGTAAAGTTATAAAAACCAAGTATTTCGATAAAGGGCATCATCAGTAGTACCTAAAATGCGTCTGAAGGATTCTGTGAAGGAGATTTTAAAATGTGAGCTTCTCCTACCATGTAATGGGAGCTCTGCCTTGCCTTTTTAATCAAACAAATGATTAAACCTGGCTTTCTGTGGACTATTTCAACCCCCAAATCTAATCAAATGCTGTTTATGGAGTAATATTCGCCTAAGTGAAACTTCAATGTCAAAAGCACGTAACGTTGAGGTATATGGGATTTTGATTTATATACCCTTGGCACATGGGACAGTGTTGATTTGGGGGGGGGGGGAGCCTTTTGAATTTAAATTAAAAAGAATTGTTCAAGAGCGGACCAGGGGCAATGTGGGAAGTAGAAAAGCATTATTCACAAGCTACTTGGGGTGGCATAGTACTTTCTGCAGCCCAAATATCACAGTACAGCAGGTAATGGCCTCTGGCCGAAAGATGCCTTACTGTGTCACATTCTCTATTCTCTGGTTTTCGCTTGTCCCAGGGCACTAAGCACATCAGTGCAAGTAGCTAAATAGGTACCGCTGTTGTGGGAATGTAAATGGTGTTTTCATGCACCCTGGTTTCTGTCACAGACTTGCACCAGAAGTGGTTTAGTCCTGCTGGCCACATGACCCAGAAAGCTGTCTGCGGACAAATGCCGGCTCCCTCGGTCTGAAAGCGAGATGAGCGCCGCAACCCCATAGTCACCTCAGACTGGACTTAACCACCCAGGGGTCCTTTACCTTTACCACCAGCAGCTGCCAATGGCATGGAGTAGAGTAAGATGAATCATATGTGACTCTTAAGTATAATGGTTTAATTGATTCTGAAATGAGGATGCCTAAATGTATATTGCAGAAGGTTTAACATGGGGCTCTTCAATGGGGCTATATTAAAGCCAAGGAGAGAGCACGCTGAGCTCTTGCTAAGTTAATGTTTAACTAACTGATTGCTGTTTCTCTGGTAGCTAACATGTGAGAGTTGTAACCTTATATCATGTGAGAAGTATTGGGTTTCAAAATCTGCATTTTGAAAGGGAGTTGCCTTTGAATCATTATCTCCTAAACTCAACAGTAAAGGTCAAGCACCCCTGGATGGTAAAGTCCAGTTGAATTCGACTATGAGGTATGGCACTCACCTCTGCTTTCAGGCTGAGGGAGTTGACATTTGTCCGCAGACAGGTTTTCCAGGTCATGTGGCCAGCATGACTAAGTGGCTTCTGGAGCGATGGAACACCATGACAGAACCAGAGTGCTGTACCTATTTATCTACTTGCACTGGCGTGTTTTCAAACTGCTAGGTTGGCAGAAACTGGGACAGAGCAACGGAAGCTCACCCCATCGCGCGGATTCGAACCGCCGACCTTCTGATCAGCAAGCCCAAGAGGCTCGGTGGATTAGACCACAGCACCACCCACATCCCTCAAACTCAGTGGAGTGAAGGTGTAAAATTAGGCTCTCCTGAAGCAAGAGTAAATAGCCTTCAGGCTGTGGAGAGAGAGAGAGGGACCTTTGCTTCTAGGTATGTTTGGATTATTTCATATTTCACATGCAAGATGCTGAGCCTGTTGTAGATAACACAATACATTGTATGGATATTTGGATGTATTCTGTTTTGTTTTAAAGCGTTCTGCTGGTAAAAAGTTTGAACAATATTTTTTATTGGTCTGGACAATGTTTTATTCCAAAAGAAGTCAGCTCTTATGCTTCCAGTTGCTTCAAACTGCACTATATTAGTATCTGCAACAGTGACAATGTTACTTAAATGGAACTAAACCTTAACAGCAGTGGTAGCAGGGAACCTTTGACCCTGCAGATGTTTCTGGACCTAGACCACAACTCCTGTCTCCCCTGACTATTGGTCAACCATATCTGGAGGGCTGCATAAGTTCTCCACTCCTGTCTGGAAGAGAGAAAGGGGAGGATGAGTTACAGGAGGTCATTTTTGATAGTAATCCACTATAACATGTGTTTTGGCTCAAAGTCACTGTAATTGTTCGAGGGTGTGTGTGTATTTTAATTGCCCCTTTGGGATAGTTGGTAATTGCTACCTGAACCACTTAGGGTGACTTCTCTCCCATTTATACAAAGGATGCTAGTCAAGCTGAATCTTGCCTCCAACCTACTTAAGAAAAGAAAACCCCGTGGAACAGCTAAAATGTATAATTTCAGACTTCATGTGTTTGGACACCTTTCAACATAAGGCAGGTGCAGAACAGCGACTGCGACTAATTGTCTTGTAATTATAATGCTAAAAAGTGAGCATGGTTGGAATGGCAGATTATTAATCCAGTTGGCTTCAAAACTCGCCGCTACAGATAAAGAGTAAATTAATTAATTTGGCCCGTTAGTGGCCTCTATTCTTTGTGACAGATCAGTGAATGCTTTCCCAAAAGCTTCCCATATATGTTTAAATTCAAGTGCCTCTTCCAAAGCAACTACTCTATTCCAAACTTTAAAAATGGAAAGTGTAATGCTGGTCAACAAAAGAGGTTTAAAGACTGTGTCAAGGCAAATTTTTAAACAATGTAGTATAAACACCAACAATTGGGAAACACTTGCCTGCGAGCACTCCAGTTGGAGAACAGCCTTTACCAAAGGTGTCATGGGCTTTGAAGACACTCGAACTCAGGACGCAAGGGAGAAACGTGCTAAGAGGAAGGCACGCTTGGCAAATTCCCACCTTGATCAACTCCTGCCCAGAAACTTATGTCCCCACTGTGGAAGGACATGTGGATCCAGAATTGGCCTCCACAGTCACTTACGGACTCATTGTTAAAACCGTGTTTATGGAAGACAGTCTTACTCAGTTACGAGTGATCACCAAAGAAGAAGAGGAGGAGGAGGAGGAGGAGGAGGAGGAGGAGGAGGAGGAGAAGAAGAAGAAGAAGAAGAAGCTTTTGCACCCAGAGCCAATGGTGAGGGCTCAGAGGCAGAGCAAGGTGGGTGCAGGCTGCCCCGGGCGTCATCCCTGAGGGGAGGTGACAAACTCCACCCTGGGTGGATTGCTGCCATGGAAATAGAGCACCCCCCGGGCAGATTGATGCTGTGTCGATCACGCACCCCCGGGTGGATAGCCCCGTCCCCTTGAGTGGATCACCCCACCCCCGTGGGCACGGCATGTGGCCACTCCGGGTGCCCAAGCAGCTAGCTCAGCCACTGTGAGGGCTGTTTTCTTTTCTTTTCTATAAATAATTTGAGAAAAGTTTTCTGATTGCTTTTAGCTTCTTGAAGCAGGGGCCTGGCAGAGGAGAAGGAGACATATGTTTAATTCTTTAAAATGTACAGTATAAGGAACTACAGTGGTACCTTGGGTTAAGAACTTAATTCATTCTGGATGTCCATTCTTAACCTGAAACTGTTCTTAACCTGAGGTACCACTTTTGCTAATGGGGCCTCCCGCTGCCACCGTGCCGCCGTCACACAATTTCTGTTCTCATCCTGAAGCAAAGTTCTTAACCCAAGGTATTATTTCTGGGTTAGCGGAGTCTGTAACCTGAAGCGTCTGTAACCCGAGGTACCACTGTACAGATAAAGTCAGAGGCATACCTAGGGGTTGGCAAAACTGGCCCCTTCTGGGGGTGCAAGCCTGGTGAGGGGCACAAAAATCATTTCTCAGACGATGGAGTGTATGATGTAAATGTTTGTCAATGTGATACTGCTATCATTGCAAAATCAAACACAGGAGAAGCTTCCTGTCTTTCTCTCACAGTGGCACAAAGGTGGGTGTGTAAGTGATTTTTTTGGGGGTGTCCTAGATAAGCAGCTGGATAAAGTGCTTTCTTAACAGCACATAAAGTAAAGTAAAGGTAAAGGGACCCCTGACCATTAGGTCCAGTTGTGACTGACTCTGGGGTTGCGGCGCTCATCTCGCTTTATTGGCCGAGGGAGCCAGCGTACAGCTTCCGGGTCATGTGGCCAGCATGACTAAGCCGCTTCTGGCGAACCAGAGCAGCGCACAGAAACGCTATTTACCTTCCCGCCTGAGCAGTCCCTATTTATCTACTTGCACTTTTATGTGCTTTCGAACTGCTAGGTTGGCAGGAGCTGGGACCGAACAACAGGAGCTCACCCCGTTGTGGGGATTTGAACTGCCAACCTTCTGATCGGCAAATCCTAGGCTCTGTGGTTTAACCCACAGCACCACCCGCATCCCCAAACAGCACATACTTCTCAGCATATAATTAACCTGTGTTACAAAAGTGTGACCACAAGTATAAAAGACCTCTCAAATGGTCTTTTAAAGAGTGAGCACATTGGTCCTTTCATCGCATGAACCTCTTGTGTTCTGCCTCTCTAACATATATGTATATTTGGAAAAAGAAAATATGAAAGTGCTTAAGAGTTGGTTTATGGATAGATGATTGAGAATTAAAAAATGTTTAGAATTTATTTATTTTAATCAAGTCCCCCATTTTTTTTAAATGAAGGTCTTCTCTTGGCAATGTGAATAGTAAAATAGACTAAATTAAAACATCCACTACAACAGCTTTAATAGACAAAACCATAAATCAATAAGACAAACCCTGCAATAGTACAACGATAAAACTGAACCATAAAATCCTAAATAGGCAGACACAAATCAAAAACCCAGCAACTGGTTCAACAAAACTCAGCCAAACTACAGATGCTTTAATAGGCCCGGCCAAATGGCCATTATTCTGCAGAGACCAGCATCAGTGATGTTAAAGGATATTAGATCAAAAAGTCCCTTTCCTCAGCTCCAACAATGCATTGAAGTTTCTGCTTCCAACAAATTAAAACACCAAATATTAAAAACTTCCCAATTCCGGGCTGCCTTCAGATGTCTTCTAAAAGTCAGATAGTTGTTTATTTCCTTGACACCTGGTGGGAGGGCCTTCCACAGGGCAGGCGCCACTACCGAGAAGGCCCTCTGCCTGGTTCCCTGTAACCTCACTTCTCACAGTGAGGGAACCACCAGAAGGCCCTCGGAGCTGGACCTCAGTGTCCGGGCTGAACGATGGGGGTGGAGACGCTCCTTCAGGTATACTGCGCTGAGGCCATTTAGGGCTTTAAAGGTCTATAAAGCAGTTTTGTGCCAGACTGGGTGTGTGGACTGTGTAGAGCCATCTGGTTCCACCAGCCTTTGTAGGGTAATCCCCACCTCCACCCCGTTCTGCTACACGTCACTCTGCTGGGGTGGTGCTCCCTCTTTCATCTGTTGAATGGCCAGGTAGACAGAAGCTCTGCAAGCAGGAACCCCACCAGTAACAACCAGTGGGAAGCTTTGAAATGGGGTGTTCAAGAGGAGGAGCTGAGCTGGCTCAAGAGCCATTGGATTCTACGCTGGCCCCACTGCTTCCATGGGATGGCATTAAGGCCACATTTGCACCATACATTTAAAGCAGGTTTACACTATTTTAGCAGTCACAGCCTCCCTCAAAGAATCCTGGGAACAGGAGTTTGGTAAGGATGCTAAGAGTTGGTAGGAAATGCTTATCATACTCTCCAACATTTTCCCAATGAAAATAGGGACCCCCTATACAAGAACAACAATAATTTTATTATTTATACCCCACCCACCTGACTGGCTTGCTTCCTGCATATATAAAACCATTAAAAAACCATTGGACATTAAAAAAAAAACCATTAAAAAGGCTATACAGGGTTGCCTTCAGGTTGTGTGGTTACTTATCTCCTTGGCTCAGGGGTCACATAACATAAGGCTGACATACGACCTGATTTTCTGAAAATGGCGTCCTGGATTATATTTTTGAAATCAGGCAAATGACCTAGAAAACCGGCAATGGGTGTTACATTGTGCCGAAAAAGCCCAGAAAAACTCCATACCTTGAAAATTCTTGTAGCTTTTACTAGAAAGAGCTCAACAACTTTGGGGTTTGTCTAAAAAAAAGCTCAACAGCCTTTGGGTTTTCTTTTAGAAACCTCAACAATATTGAGGTTTTTCTGTCCTAGTTTTTACTTTTTGAAATATGGCAACCCTAGCCTAACTCCATACCCTCCAACATTTCTCTGGTGAAAATAGGGATGTCCTAAGGAAAAGGGAGACATTCTGGGATCAAATCAGAAACTGGAACGGCTTCTGTAAATCCAGGACTGTCCCTGGAAAACAAGGACACTTGGAGAGTCTTCAGTATTCGCCTCTGAGAGTTAACAATTCACTGAGTGGTTTGCTAATCAACCTTTCTTCCCAAGGAACTCTGGAAATGTATGGAGCAATCACTGGGAGGCTGATTCAGTGATTTGATTGCTCTCCTTCCCACTCTGTCCTGGCTGGCATAAGCAGCAGGGCTACAGATGCACCAATGGTCTCCTAACTCCATTAAGCTTCACTGGGCAGCAACTGGGGTCTGCATTGCATCATAATTCATTAATGCATCAGACCACTTCATCATCCTGAACCACAATTGTTTATTAGTTAAATGCTACCTAAATGATGGCCAGCTTTGATGCTTCCCAGATTTATGACCATACATTGAACACTTCTCTTCCTTCCGGAGCTAAATATTGCCTTCCACTTGCTAATATGCAATTTTAGCTTGTTCCTTTTAAATGATTTATCCCGAGCAAGGCTGAAATAAGTTAGAAGTTAACAATAATTCGAATGCAAGTGTTATTAAACTGAGAGATGCCTTGCGCAGTGACTTTCCTCTAGGTTCATTTCCCTGTTTAATAGACTTGAACTCGGCTAAAGTAGCTGTAAAATGCCTACCTTGATGCACATTTTCTCATTGATTCGTCTCATCTTACCGTAATATGCCAGAGACGACACCTAAATGGATGGGAAACACTGAGATATTTGTGCCTGCTTAATGCTCATTTTAGAAGAGGAATTAAGCAGATCAGGAGCAATCGGGGGATCCATCAGCAAAGTTTCGGCAGGAGCAAAGCTTGTTATAAACCATCCAGCTGTTGAAAATGGAAAAATAAGTGTATGAAATAAGATTCTGTGCTGCGTTCATGCCTCCAGATCTTCTCCACCATCTTCTCCTATCCCTTTTCCCGCAGAGATAGTGTGCCACAGGCATTGATAACTTTGAGCTGATTACTATGAACAATTCCTTCCCCCGTGGTGGTTTCAACTCTCCAGTCTGAAGAGTGGAGTTCTACTGCCAACACTGGGTGAACCTAAGATGAGTAGGAAGGAAGAAGGGCTACATTAATGGGAACTTCCCCATTGCTCTAGTTTATAAGCACTCCCTTCAGTGCAGGAAGGCACACCACACCTTGCTATCTAAATGATGGCCAACTTTGTGTGTGATGAAATGATGGCCCTGTGGTCTAAACCCTTGAACCTCTTGGGCTTGCCGATCAGAAGGTCGGCGGTTCGAATCCCGGCGGCGGGGTGAGCTCCCGTTGCTCTGTCCCAGCTCCTGCCAACCTAGCAGTTCGAAAGCACACCAGTGCAAGTAGATAAACAGGTACCTCCGTGGCGGGAAGGTAAACGATGTTTTCGTATGCTCTGGTTCCTGTCAATGTGTCCCGTTGCACCAGAAGCGGTTTAGTCCTGCTGGCCACATGACCTGGAAAGCTGTCTGTGGACAAACACCGGCTCCCTCAGCCTGAAAAGTGAGATGAGCACCGCAACCCCATAGTCACCTTGACTGGACTTAACCATCCAAGGGTCCTTTATCTTTTACCTTTACCTTTCATTTATTTGACTGCAAATATACCGCTTACGATGGGAGGCAGGAGATTTTTGGAGATAGCAGCAGCGGAACCAAAAAAGAAATCTGGCAGGGAGGAACAAAAGTACATTTCTAGGTAAGTTACCAGTGAAAGCAAAATAACAGTATGACATTAATGGCCAGAATTTTTTTTTTTGTGGGCGAAGCAAGTGGGAGGGCAGGCTCCTTGTTTGGGGAGACACTTGCCCCTCTGCCCCCATTTTGCTGCCACCTATGGATCTGTCATTCATATTGTTGCGTCTGCTCTTTCACATTAATAGCCTCACCCTGGATTCAGTTTCTTGGTCATCCTGGAGTGTGATAGAATCTTGAAGCCTGCCTCCTGGAATATACAAGTGGGACCCGCCATGAAATGTAATGTTGCAGCACATTCTTGCCTTGTAACTGGAGTGCTTCTCTTCAGGGTTCTAGCCTGCCAGATGCCTGGAGCATCATCCGTGGTACCATAAGTTGCAAAGGGCTCAAGAAGACCCTTTCACTCTCCCTTCTCTAATCCCACCCCATCCCCATTTTCCATCCCCCCATCCCCAACTTGCACTCCTCTTTATGTGGCTCCACTCCCATTTCCTCCCCCCCCTTTTTTTGCATTTAATCTTTATTGATTTTAAATATTGCATCCATCCATCACAAGAATAAAAAAGAAAAAACACATCAAATACAAAGAAAATGTTACATATAAGATAAAGTTCTTCCATACCTTAAGACTTCCATCTTCCTCAGCATGGCTCCTTCGTTTCCTGGTTAACTGCAAATTGTATGACATTTAACTTATCACAAATTATAATCTTTGTAGCATATAGTTGTCGGAACCTGCGTTCGACCGAGCGACTCCTCCGGTCGAGCCTTCATTCTCTCCTCTGACGATAATTAACGACCTGATCCTCTGATAAGGCTCCAGGCACATTCCCATTCAGCAGAGTTTCAAAGCAGCAGAAGTGACGAGATTTATGAGCTACATCGCTATGCTTTATTTCTAGCTACACAGACAGAAAAGAAAACATCCTCTCTCTGTGAAAGACAGAGAGTAACTGTAACAAAGGAACAGGAAACCAGTAAACATCACATCCATCTCCTCTCTCCCGTGAGACTTCCAACAGTTTGGAATCTCTGGAATGTAAACAGAGTCTTGTGACTCCAAGCACTGCACAGTGGCAACACACAGAAACCAACATCAGTATGGCAGAAGTTAATCAAAGCATGTCAATGATTTCATATGGGAACAATGGTCTTTTAAATATAATCTGTATATATCCCATTCTTTGTTGAACTTTTGGTCTGCCTGGTTCCTAATTTTTCCTGTCATCTTTGCCAGTTCCACGTAATCAAATAATTTCGCCTGCCATTCCAATTTAGTTGGTATTTTATCTCCTTTCCACCATTTGGCTATCAGCATTCTCGCGGCAGTGGTTGCATGCATAAATACCCTCCTCAATTCTTTCAGAATGTCTGCAGCCATGATACCTAAAAGGAAGGCTTCTGGTTTTTTTGATGAAAGTTAATTTAAACATTTTTTTAGCTCCTTATAAATCATTTCCCAAAAGTTCATTATCTTTTTACATTTCCACCACATGTGATGCATTGTTCCCTTCTTTTTCCTTTTTAATATTGCATTCTACTGGGTACGCTGGCTTTTGCCTGAGCATTGAGATACCTCTTATTTCTCAGAGAGCCTTCAATCCTGTTCAGTGTCCAGCCAGTTCACTATTATCTCTTTGTGTTTCTACTGTAAAGCATTAAATGGTGACGATCTTGCATTTGCCAGTTCATAAAACTTCTATTGGCTGTCATGGAATTTTGTTTTAAGTAGGGAGGCCTCTAAAGCCTTGGCAGGAAACGCTGAAGAGTTGGTTGCTTATTGTGTTTTTGACACCTTCTTTATGAATGGGGTTTTTTTAAGTGCATGGAAGACATGAATTATTAGACCCTTGTAACCTCAACTAAATGCACAAATCTCTGTATACTTGCAGATCATCCTTTCTGGTCTTTCCCCATTCATTTCTGCTTAGTGTGTAATGGATAGCTCTTTTGGATTTCTGATTTAGATCTTCCTGATGGGTTTGCGGTTTTTTTGGTCATTTATATGGAAAGAAGCTTTCTCTCCCAGTTCTGTAGGGGAGTTAATTATCACCTGCTATGAATCTATTAAGAAGAGTACAAAGAACCTAGATTCTTAAAGCTGTCAGTTACTCTCTTTTTTTATATCTAGTCTCAGCAATTCCCTTACAATAGCGAAGAGAAAATCTTAGCAGCTGATTATTAATATATCACCAAGAGCTTATGTAACGTTAAATTGGCATTGGCAGAGCCTGCATTTTTTACATTCCTTGAATCCTTATGCAGTATTAAATCTTACAGGGCCATAATTCTATTACACTTGGTTCAAGGGATGTGGGGAACCTGGCACCCTCTATATAGCTTTGGACTACAACTCTGACCAATCACTATGTTGGCTGATGGAAATAAGAGTCCAGTAATATATGGGATGCGGGTGGCGCTGTGGGTTAAACCACAGAGTCTAGGACTTGCCGATTAGAAGGTCGGCGGTTTGAATCCCCGTGACGGGGTGAGCTCCCGTTGTTTCGAACCTAGCAGTTCGAAAGCACGTCAAAGTGCAAGTAGATAAACAGTTACCGTTCCGGCGGGAAGGTAAACGGCGTTTCTGTGCGCTGCTCTGGTTCGCCAGAAGCAGCTTAGTCATGCTGGCCACATGACCTGGAAGCTGTCTGCGGACAAACACTGGCTCCCTCAGCCAATAAAGCGAGATGAGCGCCGCAACCCCAGAGTCTGTCATGCCTGGACCTAATGGTCAGGGGTCCCTTTACCTTTAACATCCAAGGTGCCATAGGTTCCCCATCCCTATCCCTAATATCAGTCCTGCCATGAACCCAAAAGGTGGCTTCGTGCAAGCCATTCTGTTGCTGCACACCTACTTTACAGACTGGTTTTAAGGATTATGAGGGCTGCCATACACCTGGGATTCCCCAAACATATCTGGGTTTCATCTGTCGGAAATAGCATCTGGGTGGAATTTCTGAAAATCGGTTAAATGTCCCGGAAAAGCCAGGCAACCCATGTTGGGAGTGTTTATTTTTTGGCCAATTTCCTTAAAAATAGCTCAAAAACATGGCTCCCAAAAAGAAAAAGATTAACAACTTTTGTGTCCAGATTTTCAATTTTTTAAATATAGCAACCCTAGCTAGGATTATAAGATAATGTTTGGGAACATTTGGCTCTGAAAACTCAAAAGCAACTTCGCAGTGCTAAGCTGTGACTCCTCAATTCTGTTTTTCAACTTTGTTTGGAGTCTGAGCAATAATGTCCCCCAACACTCACCCCTTCCAAGCTGCCTCCTTCGGTTTTTGCTTTGCATCAGTACTGAAGAACTATTTAGACTTTCGCTTGTCAAGATTTGAAATGAATCTATTGCTGCTGTTTTTTTCATGGATCAGCTAATTACTACCTGCTGCGAAGAGTATATTAAGAATAGAAAGTGTATTTGCTCTCAGTGACATAATTGAGTTGCATTTAGTCTGCCATTGTCTTATCAGAAGAGATGGCAAATCTTAGCTATTGGTGTTTTTTTTCATACTTTAAGATTTTGAACTTCAGCAACATTCCATTTTTGTCCCCCTCCATGTGAGAGCTACAAGGCTTGAATTTAAGGCTAAAGCTTACTGGGAAATGATATATAATGAATTGAAAAGGATGTTCAAAATAACTTTTATTTTAAAAACAAGCCAGAAGCTTTTCTTTTGGGAATTATAGGGACAGAACTACCTAAATTGTATAGAAATTTATTCATGTATGCTACTACAGCAGCAAGAATGTTTCTTGCCCCGAAATGGAAAGAAACAGAAGTCCCAGCAAAGGAAGAATGGATACAAAAACTTAAGGAGTATGCAGAAATGGTGAAACTTACTGGAAGAATAAGTAATAAAAATAACAATTTTTTAAAATAAAAGAATGGAAATGGTTTATTGAATATTTACAGGTAAATTGTAACCAGATAAACACATTAGCAGGATTAGTGTAATAACCTGCAGTTTTATAAGAGTATACATTTACAGTAGATAATTATATGAGCAAGTTAAATGAACTTGGATATGCAGAAGATATTACAAAATACATTTGAGGAACCGCAGAAAGAGGGGGAAGGAGGTCAAATTTTGTAATGTCAGATGGACTGTAAAACTAATGAAATGTATTAATTTGAAAAGTATAAATAAAAAACTATTAAAAAATGAATTTGCCACAGAGACAATTCAAGCCTTAGAGTTCTCACATAGAGGCGGAGGCAGAAAACCTCAAGCTCAAGGGCTGAATGTCCAGGATTGTCCTGCTCACTGGAGTGTCCTCAGGACAGCATCCCTTGTCTCAGACCATATCCCTCCCATAGTCTGCCCCCTCCTTGAGGGGTTTTGGCTGACCCGAATGTCTTCTTGAAATGTAAGAATGCCTCTTGCTTGCTGTTGGGGATTGGCTGGATGAGGAGGAGTGTGGGAAACCTCCTGCCCATGAGGGCAGGGAGGGACAGCTACGTATTCCTGCATTGCAGGTGGGTGGCACAAGCCCAGGCATAGGCAAACTCGGCCCTCCAGATGTTTTGAGACTACTATTCCCATCATCCCTGACCACCGGTCCTTCTAGCTAGGAATCATGGGAGTTGTAGGCCAAAAACATCTGAAGGGCTGAGGTTGAGGCAGCTGGACTAGACGATTCTCAGGCTCCCAACTCTGTGATCCTCTGATTCTTTGACTGGTGAGATCCTTGTCTGAAACTCTGGAGAGCCCCTGCCAGCCCACTGTAGACAATACTGAAATAGATGGAACAATGGTCTGGCTAAGGCAGCTTCCCATGTTCCTAAATTCATTTTTGGGGGGGGAGAGACATACACATAGCAGATGGCATTCAATGCGTTTGACGCAGACATCTTTGGAGTAATTTCTGTCACAATCAATTTCCAAGTAAAAAGGTTTAGGAAGGCCCGAAATGCATTTTTAATATCCGGAAATGTATTTGGATGTGGTCAAAAGATGATGATATCTAAAATTAAAGCAAGCACTGCCACTTCTACTCTCAGAACATGTTAATGCGGGGAGCGCATTCATACGCCACTAGTGCTGAATTATAATTGGAAGAGGAAGCTGCTCATTTAAAGCTCTTTGAATTCTGCTTTGTGAAATCTCTGAGATTCCATTTGAGCGATCAGTCACACTGCAGTTCTCTCTCTCGCTCTCTCCCCACCCTTCCCCCTGTTTTTTTTATATCTTATTTTTCAAGCTTCTTTTCAATAGCTGCGAGATAGTTAAGCCAGTTTTTTTTCAATACTCCAGTGCTTCTCATCTTCAAATTATCGTGCCATTAACTCTCATGGTGCACTTACATAATTCATTAAACGTTTTGAAAGCTTGGCGCAGTCCAAAGATCTTGAACTATTTGCGACTTCAACTCCTCTATGCCCAACATTCAGAAACAGCAAGGGGGAAGGAAGCTCCTAGGAGAGTATACTTAATTCGTTTCAGAGGTCCGTTCATAACCTGAGGTACCACTTTAGCTAATGGGGCCTCCTGCTGCCACCGCGTGATTTCTGTTCTCATCCTGAAGCAAAGTTCTTAACCCGAGGTACTATTTCTGGGTTAGCAGAGTCTGTAACCTGAAGCGTATGTAACCTGAGGTACCACTGTACAGTGGTGCCTCGCAAGACGAAAAGAATCCGTTCCGCGAGTCTCTTCGTCTTGCGGGTTTTTTCGTCTTGCGAAGCAAGCCCATTAGCGGTTTAGCGGATTAGCGTTACAGTATTAGCGGCTTAGCGGGCTTAGCGGATCAGCTGATAAGCGGCTTAGTGATCAGCTGTTAAGCGGCTTAAAGATCAGCTGATAAGCGGCTTAAGGATCAGCTGATAAGCGGCTTAGCGATCAGCTGTTAAGCGGCTTAAAGATCAGCTGATAAGCGGCTTAAGGATCAGCTGATAAGCGGCTTAGCGATCAGCTGTTAAGCGGCTTAGCCATCAGCTGATAAGCGGTTTAGCGGCTTGGGAAAAAGGGGGGGGGAGGAAAAAAACCCCGCAGGAACTCGCAAGACATTTTCGTCTTGCGAAGCAAGCACATAGGAAATTCGTTTTGCGAAGCACCTCCAAAACGGAAAACCCTTTCGTCTAGCGGGTTTTCCGTCTTGCGAGGCATTCGTCTTGCGGGGCACCACTGTACAAGCCA